ATGTTTAGCTCACTTCATGCTCCCATTTTCAGGGACCAAGTGAGAAGGCTTCACAAGTGGAGGTGCAACTACAAGCGGACAATGAAGATGGTCTTTCCGTTGTGCTTGTAGGCACAATATTTGTCCTTGGCTTGTAATTAAACTAATTCATGTTTATCATGCCTTTGAACATATTTTGATCTATTGGCGTTGGACGCCGGGTTATTTGATCACAAGACTATTATAATGGTTGTTTTATCGAATGTCTTGCTTATATGTTCTATGAAATTTGCATATTTTGCATATGATTAAACAAATGTTACTGACCACCAAAAGAGCTAAGACCATTGAGTTGAATCAAACCTACTTGTGATATTGTCGTCTTGGCCACATTAACATCAAACGCATCAAGAAACTTCATCCCAAAGGTATTCTTGACTCATTCGACTTAGAGTCGTTTGAAAATTGCGAAGGATGTCTATTAGGCAAGATGATAAAGAAAGCATTCTCTAATTTAGGAGAAAGGGCTAGTGACTTATACATACGGATGTATGTGGACCAATGAGTACACCCGCAAGGCAAGGATATCGATATTTCATCACCTTCACCGACGACTATAGTAGCAAAAAACGGTCTTTTTGGCTCCGCTGTTGCGCGGCCCTTGTCGGCGTAGACGGAACGAGGACATGGTTATGTTTACCTTATGTCTAACAAATCTGAATCTTTTGAGAAATTCAAAGAGTTTCAGAGTGAAGTGGAAAATCAACTTGGCAAGAAAATCAAAGTACTTCGATAGGATCGAGGTGAGAAGTATTTGAGTCCTGAATTCGATGTTCATCTGAAAGAAAATGGCATTCTGTCAGAATTAACACCTCCCGGAACTCCATAATGGAACGGAGTGTCCAAAAGGAGGAATCAAACCTTGTTAGACATGGTCCGATCTATGATGGGTCTTAGTGAACTTCCGATACCTTTCTGGGGATGCGCACTTCTAACCGCAGTGATAACATTAAACCGAGCTCCGTCAAAAGCTGTCAAAAAGACTCCATATGAATTATGGATGAAGAAACCTCCAAGGTTGTCTTTTCTTAAGATTTGGGGTTGCGAAGCATATGTCAAGAGATTAATTTCTGACAAACTTCACCCAAAATCAGACAAGTGTTTCTTTGTGGGATACCCAAAAGAAACCAAAGGGTATTACTTCTACAACAAATACGAGAACAAAGTGTTTGTTGCTCGTGATGGTGTCTTTTTGGAGAAGGAACACCTTTCCAAAATGAAAAGTGGGAGGAAAATCAAACTCGATGAAGTTCGAGAGGACGAGCAACAAAGTCAACCTGACAAAAACAATCAAAGTGCTTTAGAAGTAGCTGTTGACATTGGTCAGAGTCAAACCGAAAATGTGCAAAGTCAAACCGACAATGCAAATGCTTAACCTATTACCCTATGTAGGTCGCAACGGCAGGTCTCAACTAAACAGATACCTCGGTTTTGTCTTAAGCGAAGATCAAGACATCCTACTAATGGATGGAGATCATCCAGCGACATACAAACAAGTTATAACGAGCCCCGACTCTGCAAAATGGCAAGAGGCCATGAAATCCGAGATGGACTCCATGTTTGAAAATCAAGTCAGGGACTTGGTTGATTTGCTCGAAGGTTACACACCTATCGGTTGCAAATGGATTTTCAAGTTGAAAACCGACAAAGATGGAAATGTATCTATATACAAAGCTAGATTGGTGGCAAAAGGTTACAGGCAAATTCAAGACGTTGATTATGATGAAACCTTTTTGCTAGTCGCCATGCTTAAGTCCGTCTGGATTATCCTAGCAATTGCCGCATATTATGATTATGAAGTATGGCAAATGGATGTCAAAACCTCTTTCCTTAATGGGATTTTGGAAGAAACTGTGTATCTGACACAATTGAAAGGTTTTGTTGATCCAAGAAATGCTTGGAATGTATGCAAGCTTAAGAAATCCATTTATGGATTAAAGCAGGCAAACAGAAGTTGGAATCTGCGATTCGATGAAGCCATTAGCAAGTTTGGTTTTATAAAGAATCCAAATGAATCTTGTATTTACAAGGTCAGTGACATCTCATTCCTCGTCTTATATTTCGATGAAATATTGCTCATTGGAAACAGCATTCCAATGTTGGAGTCTGTAAAGACATGGCTTAGGAAGTGCTTTTCAATGAAGGACTTGGGAGAGGCTCAGTACATATTAGGCATCAAGATCTATCGGGATAGATCTAAAAGGATGATTGGATTGAGCCAAAGTATATATATTTATAAGGTACTGGCACCGATTTAACATGGAAGGGGCCAAAAGAGGGCACCTGCCCATGTCACATGGCATAACTCTCAGCAAGAAGCAGTGTCAGCAAAAACCTGATGAGCAAGAAAGGATGAATTAGATTCCATATGCTTCGCTTATTGGATTGATCATGTATGCCATGATATGTACTAGGCCGGATGTATCGTATGCCTTGAGTGCTACAAGCTGATACCAATCAGACCTAGGAGAGGCGCATTGGACTGCGGTAAAAAATATCCTAAAGTACCTGAAAAGGAACAAGGATAAATTTCTGGTCTATGGTGGGAGTAATGATTTGGTTGTTGAAGGTTATACCAACGCGAGCTTCCAGACTGATAGAGATGACTCCAAGTAACAGTTAGGGTACATATTTTGCCTAAATGGAGGAGCGTTTAGTTGGAAGAGTGCTAAGAAAAGCACCAATACAGATTCTACAACTGAAGTCGAATACTTGGCAGCTTCAAAAGCAACTAAGGAGGCAGTTTGGATTCGTAAGTTCAATAGTGAACTTGATGTTGTACCCTCCATCAAGGGTCCTATAGACCTCTATTGTGATAACAATGGAGCTATTGCTCAGGCCAGGGAGCCAAGGGAACATCAGAAGGTCAAACATGTCAAGAGGCGATTTCACATGATAAGGGAATGGAAGTCCGAGGGTGAAATCAGAATTTGTAAGATTGGAGCGGACGACAATGTGGCCGATCCACTCACTAAACCTTTGCCTTAAGTGAAGCACAACAAGCACGTTGAGACAATGGGAATCAGGCATGTTGGAGATTAGCTTTGATTTCCCTGTTATGTGTTTTAATTAAATTTGAGATTTAAATGTAAAACACTATGTTGAACCATTTGGTTTTAGAGCAATTAAATTTTCTGTAAATTGATTATTACTCCATTTCTATTAGAATTAAATAATGAGTCCATTTGATTGATGAGAATATTCAAAACAGGGTATCAAGACCTTGTCTTGGATAAAGAAACAGCTGTTAAGTGAACATTGAATATTTCAATCGAAAATTATCCCTAATAAAGGTCATTTAAATGATGGACGGGTAATGACCACTTGAGATTTGTGTGTAGTATGATTTACAGCACCGTTTCATGCGCTACGAGGACATGATTGCCATAAATCATTTGCACAGGTATTAGTTTAGAACTATACCGGATCGACCTATGAGAGTACTTTAAGAGATTTAAAATTGTCATAAGTATATTTCTCATTATAGCTATCAGAACCTTTTTTCCTCGACCATGAGTATTGTGAATTCTCTTGTTTGAGTACTAGTCCGTTTTGATGTTGTCAAACGTTTGCCGTAAAAGGGGATTATAACGGCAACACTCGGGCGACTAGGTCCTCTTAGTAAGGGAAGCTAACAATACAAGACTGGGAATGTCCCCCCTATTAACAATAGGGAACATGTCTTTGTTGTTTACAAGTCCTCTCGAAGAGCGAGACTATGAAAATGCATGGCCGTGTTCAGATGGATTTTATAAATCATCTGCTTATTGACAGTTGAACTCGGAAATCAAGAAATAAATCTGAACGCAATAAGGATGACGAAGAATCTTACCTTATAGTTAATGAAGAGACATTAAGTGACATAGGAAATGGGTTATACACTAACTGCACACTTGTCCGGAAGGACAAGTGGGAGATTGAAAGGAATGGTGCCCTTCCAACAAGTGTATTATTCCGATAGAGGGTTCGGAATTATTAGAAAGCTAATAATTCAGTGAGGTCAAGTGATCGGATTGCCTAGGTGGAGGCCGCTTCCGATCAGTAATATTAATGTGTAATTGATATTACAGCTTAATCCTGACTGAACCCTTTGGGTCGCACCCCAAACGAATAACTGATTTGAGACGAAGAATCAATCCGAAGGATTAGATGAGTCAAAAGAGTATTACGAACAAAGACGTAGGATATCGAGCTTTGAGCGTCGAAACCGAGCGTCGTAAGTCGAGTCGAATTTCAGAATTCGACAAGACGTGAAATCAAGCAAACGACAAGTTCGAGCTAGGCCGTAGCCTCACATTGGCCTAGCCATGTGAGTGTTAAGCTAAGCCTAAGCTACCAACCGCATCGCAAGGCATGCCGCAAGCCTAGCATGCATTGCGTGCTAGGCCGAGCTTGCTTGCAAGGGCTGGTGCTAATGGCCGCAAGCAAGCTAGCACCAGGCGCGCCATGCGTGCTAGCATTCTAGGCCTCGTACCCAGCCACTCGCATCATTGCAGCTGTTGGCTATCGCTAGCACTCGTACAACACAACTCGCAGCATCGCAAGCAGCGTGCTATGCGTGCATGTGCTGTGGCTGTGCGTGCTTGCTAGCATAGCAGCACCAGCCACTCGCAACAGCTGGGTATCGCCCAGCACTCTCGCCAGCAGCTCACGCAACGCATTGCAGCAGCAGCCCGCAATGCGTGCATGGTTTGCTTGCTGCGCACATGCGATGGCAGGCTGGCCAACCAACCTAGCCTTGGTGCTAGGCGCCAGCTGGGCAGCCTTGGCAGCCAAGCCAGGTTGCCTGCCAGCCATGCGTGATGTCAGCATCCGATCAATGGGGACCAGTCTTGGTGGCCTTGCTTGGGGAGCAAGTGGTGCTTTGGTCCCCCCCTCCCCTTAGTGGTCCCACTACTACAAAATGAGTGTTTTCTCACACTATAGCCTCGACGCCAAAGCAAGGGCGTCAACAGCTCATTATGGTGTCCGCGTTTCCTCGACGCTTTTTACCGTGGAAAGTAATTTTAGACAGCAAAAAGTGTCGAGACACTAACATGTGGCCCGGACGTGAACCTAATTAGTTGTACCGCATCCACAAAAATCGCCCAACATCAGGAAACCCTCCCACTCCTCATATCCGAACACCTCGAAAACTACTATCTTCTTTTTTCCTTCACTAGATCTGAGTTCTTTACAGAGATTCATGGAGTGATGACCCAGAGTGAAAATTCAGATCCTCTTTCTCGCGTTTCACATAATCTATCACAATAATTTATATATCATGCCGAAAATTATTGTTTTACTATCAGATTTGATGGTTTGCATTCAAATTCGATTTGCGATAGCCATTGCTCTTGTTCTCCTCACAGGTTACATTTTTACATGAATCTTTGTTAATTTTTAACTCTTAATAGATATAAATTGCTTCTTTCTTTTTTGTGTGATTTTAATTGATACTTGCAAGTTGCAATTACCCAATTTTACTCGTTTTCAGACCCTAGGTTATAGATCTTGTTTAATTTCTATTTCTACAATTTAATCTATTAGTTTCTAGATATTTTCATACACATTAGTGATTTATTGGATTTCTAATTTCATTTGTTTAGATCTATTTCTGTACGGCATGTAAAACTTGACATTGATTTTGTTACTCCATTCTATCAGAGTTATTGGTTGGACCAAAGCAGAGTTTGGCCCTCGAATAGAAGAAAAAGAAGGGGTTTTTGAAACCGAAGATCACCTTCTCATTATATTCTAGGAAAATGGTGTGCAGTAGAATCGCCGGGTCTCTAAAGGGCGAAAATTGCTGAATGTATGTCTCTTTGCGATTTGCAGTTTATAAAAATGATATGAAACTTTGATTTCTATTTTTTTGCTTTGATGTGATTTATTCTTGGTGATTTCGCAACTAGTTGAGATGAATTCATTTTTCTGGGAAGAAGAGTTCTTGATGTTAGTTTTTTTTTTTTTTTTTTTTCAATTGCAGAATTATTTCAGATTTAGTGTTAGATTCTAAAATACTCAGCTTCATAATTTTGGTAATATTGATTTGCATTAATTTTGTTCAATTAATACTTCTGTTTTAACTAAATTGACAGTTCATATAGCACTTGTTACCTCTGTTGTTGTGGTGCCTAGTTCAAGTAAGCTCTGCATGTTTATCTATTTGATCCTAAAATGCCCCATGGTGCATAATCTCTCTCTTTTAGATGCTAGTAAGATATTGAATTGAAGACCTTGTATTACTGTCCTACATATCTTACTTGACTTTCGTGCATCTCTTTACAAATTGAGAGATCTAGATTACTTGTGAATATGTTATGATGGTAATGATTGATTGATTCTCAATGTTGTCTGAATTATGTTGCTACTTTTGGTCAACTCAAGCTAAGTTTCTAGATACAAGATTTGGATTGCATATTTATATTTATTTTCTTAGCATGTCTGAGTATGACTACTACTATTAATTGCTTAGGAATAGTCTATTTGGTTTTCTTTACCCTTAAACATGGATGATGTATTTGTTAAATTTTTCTTTTTTACCATGTCAATTATTTTTTTCATTTTTCTAAGACAACTTACTTTCTATTATTAACTGGCTATATATCTTTATTATGGAGTATAAAAAAATGGGAGAACAAGATTGTTTTTGTTGTGCTTATTCTACAAAGTTTGCTTGTGCTGCTAGCTTCTGTAACCTTATAATAGAGTCACATTAGTTTGGAAGACCTTTGTACTTGGCTTCTTTTGTCTGTTTCCCACTATTAGTGGTTGCGTGAAATTATTCATTACAATAATCCTAATGAATTTACCTTCCTGTTAGTACTTGCTTTGTCTGTATTGTTTAGATATTTGATTCATAGACATTAGATATTTCAAGGTTTTTTTCATGTATACAAAGTATTATTATGTTTCATTGTGCTTCTATTTTATGTCAATTCTGAAAATTTAGCTTTTTGTTCTACGTTTGAAGCACGATTATGATGAGTTTAGACTTGTTTGATAGCCTCTTTTCGATAAATTGTTTTTACTTTGTTTAATTGTTTTTGATTCCGTATGTATTACGATTTTTTAGTTAAAAGTCAACATTATTTGATCTTTTTCTCTTTTGTAAATGGTATCTCTGGCTCAGGTGGCCTCTCACACTATGGTCAATGATCTTGACATGGATATGTGGCCAAACATTCATTCGTCAAAAGAAATACCTTTGAGAAGCTTAAGGTGTAGTCATTGGCTGTACCACACTACAAGATACATGTAAGGTTTTTACCACTTTACAGAATACATGTCAGTTTTGTGTATTTACAAGAAAAGAAAGTTTTAATCCCCTACAAAATTATGTTCAAAATGAAAAAAAATATGACTTTTCCAATGCTTGCTGGCTTTTAGTATCTTTTACAATGGCAACTAGCTGTTATCAATAAGTTGATCAAATAAGCTGCTATCAAATGGATAAAAATTCACATCAACTTGCACTTTAATAGTCTCTGAGTGCTAAACATTGCACCCATTTTCGGTGTATGGTGTTTAGTGGGGTGCGACAATGAATTATATAAACTTTTGATTATATAAGTCTCAACTACATTTTAGTATTCTTTTATATTTTTATCTTCCTATTCAAATTTCAGCTCTGGCATATTTAGAGTGTGCTATTTTGCTCTCATACTCTTTCTTATATTCATTGTAGAATGATGGGTGTTCTCTAAAATTATTCTTGAGTTATTATTGTCACTACTCTGTGGACTGCCACTGGTTGAGGTTTGTTTATCGGTCCCACAAGGTAAAAATTGAATTCATACGTAGCTTGTTGCTAGTCGTGGTGGGTCCCTTCATAAAAGTTATAGATCTCAAAAAGTTATCCAATCTAAGCTCAAGAATTTCTCAATTTGGAATTTTGTGCTAGGAGTTATGCCTTCTGGAAATTTCTGTGGTTTGCTGACTTGATTCTATCGCAGCGGGCTGTTATTTTTACTTGACGATTGTGTGGGTTGTTTTGTTGAGTTGGGTGGGCTTGCTGAAATGAATACTCTGGCTTTTCTTATTTGTTTTAGTATATTTTTCCTCTAGTTAATTATATATTTATTAATTAAAGAAGAACTATGGTTGTGTTCTTGCATTGAAATGCTTGATTTTGGTGCTTTACAGAATATGAAGTCACTTAACAGGGGAAGGATTCGTTACATACACTAAGGCAATTTATCAGCAACAGGTGTAAAGAGGGGAAATTTTTTTAGCAAGATGTCAAAAGAGCAAGAGGTGGCTGCTGATTTGGTTGATGCAATCCCATGTCCATTATATGTATATATGACATGTTCAAGTAAGAAATAAATAATATGCCTTGAATTGATTTTCCATGTAAGAGAGGTTTAAGTGCAACATCCCCCCTATGATTGCTCTGAAGCTAGTGATATTTATTATATTTTAACTACCGTTTTCTATTGAACTGTGCGGTTTTCTGTCTTCTTTATATAGGTTTATCAAAAACTTTGTTAACTCAAACTTGGATATGAGTGTCTGGCCCTACTGAAGTTTCAGGTGTGAAACTACAATTTTCCCTCTCTTATCCCTCTAGCTTCCCTCTCTCCATTAAAAAGAAATGTATCTTTTGCATTTGCTCATTGCAGTTTTCATGCGGTTGTGATTTTGATTTCTTCAAACAGTTTATATGCTTTTGTCATCCCAGGCCACACTAAACCACTAGTTCCTGCCAATGATCCAGAAACATCAAAGGGTGTGTTGTGACTTCAAGGCCAACAATGATTGGTCAGAAGTTGAGCTTTGCTTTATGCCCCCTTGCAAGCAGACTAAGGAGCAGCTAAACTAGAGATTGATAGAAGTTTTTTGTGATGATATTAGCTGATATGTTCCACTACAACTAGTCACGAATGAAGTATAAGTTGGAATCATATCCTTTGTAATAGAGAACTCATTAGTACGAGATATTATACATGTACTGTAATATTTATATTATGCAACAAAAAAATTGGCCTAATTTTGTTGTGTATATATTGGTAATTAATACTAGTTTCAGTGTGAATTTGTTTTTTTGGTAAATATATTCTAGATATTTTATAGAGAACATGGACAAGAAAAAGCATTTACAACCAAAATATAGACTGACAAAAGTGTCGTCAAATTACTTAACATCAAATATATGAAATATGGACACGAAAAAGCGTCTCTAATTTTGAGATTCAAGACACAAAAAAGCGCCGCTAGATTAATAAATAGCGTCAACTACTGCAAGTTTCGACGCTTCGTATAAAAATTTGGACAAAAAAGTGTCGAGATTTGCGACGCTTTTTTGTGACACCAATTTCTCGACTCATTTTTTCTCGACGCTTTTCTAAATTTGGACAAATAAATTTCGACGCTTTTTAGCGACGAACAAACGCTTTAAAAGCGTCTAAAAAAGGCGGATTTTCTAGTAGTGCCCTCACCTACCCTTGCTCACCATTTGCCACTTGGCGCTTGTTAATTCATTTGCATTTTAATTTGTTTTTGGATTAAAATAAATTGAGCAAAATGCAATTCTCCCACGTTGAAGGGAGATGGGAAATCAAGACTCCCTTGCTTATAAATACCCATGTTTTGGATTTGGGAAAAAGCACTTGAGTTGAACTCAATAAGGCATCTCCTTATAAGTGAGAAAACGTTTAAGTTCGTAATACTCTAGTGTTTTGTTGGTCTAGCCTTGACTAACCTTCGAGGTAGAGACCACTCGGGTCGGGTCGAGGGTGCGAGCCGTCGGAGGCTTACGCACTTGTGAAGCTAGAGCTTTCAAGTAAGAGCTCGTAAGCGAGCAAAGCACGCGTCTAGGGTAAGATCGTTTTTCTCTTTCTCTCTCTTTTGTTGTTTAATTATATGATTGCATGTTTAGTTACATTAATTAGTGTGCGGGTCTTGGGCGGGTTTCATTCCGCGTAGTGTCGGACACTACGAAACCTAACAAACGCGTGAACCACTAGAGCTCGGACTTGAAAGCGTAGAGTCTCGCAAATGCGTGAACCTCCGACGGCTAACACCCTCGCTCCTCGAACCGACCCGGCCCTTACCAATTATTTTAACTTCGAGTATTAGAACGAAGGTTTTCTCTTCCTAGATATCCCTTCAAGTTCACAACTCAAGTGCTCTTCCCAATGCCAAATGATTGGTATTTATAGGGAAAAGAGCCCTTGAAATCTCCCATCAATGTGGGAGAGTTGGAAAAAATGCAAAATGGAATTTAATTTAATTCTAAATTAAATTAAATATCCAAATGAATCAATAAATGACAAGTGGCAAGGGGAGAGCAAGTGGTTAGGTTAGGACCACATGGGGGGACCATTCACCCCTTACTCCCCAAGAAAACTCTCAACAAACCAAGCCAACAAGCTTGTGCTAGCTGGCGGCCTGCCTTGACAGCCAAGGCAGCCTTGCTGGCGCCTAGCGCCATGGCTGGGCCTGTCAGCCAACCCGCATATACGCACGCATAGCCAGCAAGCCACGTACGCAATGCGTGCTGCTGCTGCTGCGTTGCTTGTGCTAGGCAGCGCCTAGCTAGCTACTACGATGCTTGTGCTAGGTTGCGCCCAGCTAGCTACTGCGACCATGCGCGAGGCTTAGCGAGCATATGCTTGCTGCTGGCCTTGAGATGGTGCGGGGTTGGCTGCTGCCTTGCCTAGCAAGCGCGACCAGCCATGCTGACCTTACGATGCGCGCAAGGCATGCTTGGCCATGCTAGGCATGCTGAGCTTGCGACTGAGCATTACCTTGCGGCAGTGGCCCTTGGCTAGCTGTGCTAGCCATCTTGCCCTAGCAACGACTTATCGTTTGGTCGATTTTTCCGTCTCGGTGATTCCTAAATTTGACTTGACTTTTGACGCTCGGTTTCGACGCTCTAAGCTCGAAATCCGACATCTTTGTTTGTAATACTCTATTGACTCATTTAATCCTTTGGATTAATTCGTCGATTCGATTCGGTTCCACAATTGGGTGTGACCTGAAGGGTTCAGTGAAGATTAAGTTGTAATATTAATTATGCATTAATATTACTGATTGGAAGCGGCCTCCAGCTAAGCATTCTGATCACTTGACCTCACTGAATAATTGGCTTTCTAATTACTTCCGAACCCTCTATCGGAATAATACACTTGTTCGAAGGACACCATTCTTTTCAGTTCCTTCATCTTTCCACCAACAAGTAAAGGCTATAGTTGGAGGAATTCCTACTACAATCGATGCCTCCCACATGAGAATCAAAGCAATTGATAATCAATCATTCATGTGGAGCACGATGAGTATGTCGAAGATTTTTGGGCTTCAACGCCGGAGAGGTCTCTTTTATAGAAGAAGATGAAAAGATCCCTCTTAACTATAACCCCCACTCGAATATTTTCGTCAATGCTATTCTTAAAAGACAAGGACACTTTCATGGATTGACTCTAGGAAAGAAGAAAGAAATAGCTAAGCTCATGGGAATACCTAGCCTCCCTAAGAGGGACACTTTTGGATTTGGATTCAACCAAACTCCAGAAGACCTCAAGTGAGCCTTGGAAAAGTCCAATGCACGAAGAAGAGCTCGTACCCAGAAAGGTGCAATACCAATAGATCCATACCCTCTCACTTTAAATGGACAATTTATAAAAGAGGGACAAGATTACCTTGCTATGAATTCCCTGAACCACTTGTTAGGAATGGAATACGCCAACCTGGTTTCGAGATTTTCCTAGATTGAAAATTTCTAGATGAGATTCCCGCTCCTACCTACAAGGAACGAGCACCCCCATTCTTCTACTTTAATGTCATTGGTCTCCTCTTTGGATACAAGAAAAACGAGCCTAAGTGCGTCGATGACAACTCCGCACTCATACAGACTGTATTACAAAGTGAAGACTTTGACCCCTCCAAGCTCATCACTCCAGCGGAAGGACTACTCTAGGGATAGCACAAGACTGTGAAAGTAACTACGCCAAGTGGAAGGAAGATATCAATAACTACGGGAGAAGGCCCCATGTTTGATGAGCATGAGTCATCTGAGTCTGAGTCTGAGTTTGAGTTCGAGTCCTCTGTCGTTGAGTCTTCTAAGTCTCTTAGAGTTGCACCCCCTACTATCAAACCTAGCTTAGCATCTAGCCCAAGAATAGTTAGTAGCTAGGTCCCCGCAGACCTTTCTCTTCTAAAAGTAATGACTTAAGAATTTAATAATATGACTTCTTCTGCTTACTCCTCGTGTTATTCCCTCACCCAAGATGACGAGTATTGCTTTGCTAATATAGAAAAGGACAAAGAAATAATTAAAGCAATGGAAGCACTTGAGAATAAAACGGCCGTAATTGAAGAAATTGAAATCGTTGACATTTCAAAAGATCCCACTATTAAAAGAGAAGTTAAAATTGGATTAACTCTAAATCAAGAAGAAAGAGCTGAATTAATAAACTTTCCTATTGAGTTTATCGACGTCTTTGCTTGGTCATATGAGGATATGCCAAGTATAAGCAAAGAAATTGCTCAATATTCTATACCACTAATTCCGGGAATAAAACCTGTAAAACAAAAGTTACGTCGAATGAAACCCGACGTAGCACTTAAAATAAAAGAAAAAAAATTCAAAATAGATAACTAAAGGCTTTATCAAGGTGTCCAAGTATCCAGAATGGGTCGCTAATGTGGTACCAGTTCATAAAAAGGATGGTAGAGTAAGAATGTGTGTCGACTATAGGGATCTTAATAAGGGTAGCCCAAAGGACGATTTCCCTCACCCACACATCGACATTCTAGTAGATAACACAACTAATCACGCACTTCTCTCATTTATGGATGGGTACGCAGGCTATAACCAGATTCTCATGGCAGAAGAAGTCATGGAAAAGACCACCTTCATAACACCATGGGACACTTATTTCTATACGGTGATGCCATTCGGGTTGAAAAACGCGGGTGCCACGTACCAAAGAGCAGCATTTGCCTTACTCCATGACATGATGCATAAAGAAGTCGAGGTGTACGTGGATAATATGATTGTAAAATCTAAGGATCGCCTTGGCCACCAAATAGCCTTGAGAAAATTCTTCGAAAGTCAAGGCTAAATCCAACTAAGTGTGCATTTTGAGTTACCTCAGGAAAACTTCTATGCTATGTCATTAGCTCTAGAGGAATCGAAATAGACCCCACTAAAATCAAGACTATCATGTCCATGCCACTGCCCAAGACTAAGAAGCGAATTCGAGGATTCATTGGCCGGTTGCAATACATAAGTAGGTTCATATCAAAACTCACCATGATATATGAACCAATATTCAAGAAACTTAAGAAGAATGTACTAGTGGTATGGGACGATGAATGTCAAGAAGCCTTTGATAAAATCAAAGCCTACCTTGCAAATCCTCCTATACTTGCGCCAGCACTACCAAACATTCCTCTCTGTCTATACTTGATAGTCACCAAAGAAACAATGGGGGCTATGCTCGCACAAGAAGTGGAAGGCAAAGAAAACGCCATCTACTATCTAAGTAAAAAGATGCTTGAATATGAAGTTCGCTACACACCACTTGAAAAGTTGTGCCTTGCAGTTGTGTGGGCCACAACAAAGTTAAGACATTACATGCTTGTTCACACAGTCCATGTGGTATCTCGAATGGATCCCCTTAATTATCTCTTTGAGAAATCCACACTTAATTGAAGAACATCAAGATCGATAGTCAACTTATCTCAATTCGACCTAAGGTTCATGCCTAAAAAGTCTATCAAAGGGGTGTGTAGTCTTTGATTTCTTGGCAGACTTTCCAATTGAAGACTCAACACTAGTGCAAGAAAACGGCTTCCTAGATGAAGAGTTAATGGTCACTGAAGATGACACTTGGACACTATACTTTGACGGTGCATCCAACTAGAAAGGATGTGGTGTAGGAGTCTTATTAGTATCACCTAAGGAAGAGCATGTCCCAATTTCAATAAAGCTTGACTTCGACGATACCAACAATGCTGCAGGGTATGAAGCATGTGGGACAGGCTTCGAAACAGGGTTAGCATTAGGAGTCAAAAAGCTTCGAATATTCG